AACTGACCCATGCGAATTCCGCAACTTTCATGAATGCCCAATTTTGTTTCATTTCATCGGTTCTATTTTCCAAGGATAACAGCAACACAACTTGAATTATTCGCATTCGGATTTCACTTCACAACTGAATTGTTCAGTTTTAACTGAACACAGCAACCAACAAAAAAAAAACAGCTGCAATTGAGCTCTAGAGCAAAAATAATTGGAGAGAATCTGAAGAAGGACCAAGATCAGAGAGCCAAACGTGGAAATTTGCTTAAGGAAGGATGGAAGACATGATGCCGTCAGGTTTATTGAAGAACTGGCCCAATCAAATAGGCGAGATAAATTTGAGAGACGAAGAAACGTAACCTTTCTCTCATTTCACTAATCAACGACAACATCGGCTGCCGTACTGCATCCTCATCTGGCAGTAAACAAAAACTTCGGAATATCACATAGATTGGATCATTGAATATCTGATCGAATGTTCTACAATATTAGTCATTAGCATACGAATATCACTGCTACTTAGTAGATTCACATCTTCTTCAACATCACTTACAATAAACAGTTATCGTAGAATTCCCAAACGATCACAAGCATCGCTCAGAGCAAAAAGCATTCCGAAACTATCGATTCAAAAAAACCCACTCAATAAGAAAAATCAAATTGCTTACTCAGGCGTTGGAGTGAAATCGTCTGTGAGTGGTTTTCGCGAGAAGAACTCTTGTTGGAATATCGTCAGGAAGCACTCAGCTATCAGTTCAATTTGTTCACCATCAAGTAATTCGTACTGCAAATTTCAAAAGATCAACAATTTCACACAGTAAATCAATTGAACAGTTTCGAATGACTATAATGCAGTGTATTTCTCTTCCCCATTTGAGAGCAATCACTGAAAATTTATCTTCAAAACGGAATTCTTTTGCACATCAACATTTCACTCTTCATTTCGAATATCATGTTTCATGTGCATTTTTGCCATATGAAACACATTTCATGCGGCGAAAATTTACTATTTCACAGCAGCTCTTAGTGTTTTACTGGGTGATGTTATGATGAATGCAAAACGAAGTAAACATTACAATCAAAATACATTATCAACATTCGCATCACAC